TGACGCACTTTCAGGAAAAATCCAAAATATGTGATATCTGTTTAAACAGTGAGCAAAACTAGCTAACCAAAGATTAGAAACGCAGCCCTCTAATCACAAAGGTTAGTTAAACACACAAAGCCTACATACGTGCGGTGAAATCCATTTTCTAATTATTTTTGCTGCTAAAGTAACAATATTACGATCTATCGTGTTGTAATATTGCAACATGATGTATAGATAGATAGAAGAATGTCTCGACTGCATCACATCTGCATTTTGGCTTTCCCAACGTGAGCGTCGCTTCAGTTTATTAAACTGAGGTTTCACTTTAAAAGAAACACATCTGGATACAATGTTGCCGTTTGTGGCGATCAAGAGAAAAAAAAGGTCTCAGATGTAACAAAAGAACTGTTTTGTTTTTTTTGTGCGATTTCAATACAGCTCACCATAGCGATGAAGCGACCGATGAAGCGAAAGTACGTGAGGTGGTCGGGGTTTATGGAGGACGCCGGGTTGATCTGCAGACAGTAGTTGTTCTTGCCAGCATACTCAAACAGGCAGTACATGGGATTCAGGACTTCATGGGACAGCAGGAAGAACCACTCCCTGTGGAAGAAGAGAAGAGGACGTGAATGCACGAGAGGAAGACACGAGGCTGTCATCCTGCAGGGACCTAACAGCAACATACAACACTGAAATTGAACACCTCAAAACTATAATTTTATTTAAAAAAAAAACCCAAACACATTCTATACTAGCTGTACGGTCAACAGAAGAGCACATGATCACAGGGAGTTTATAAGAAAAGCAGGAAAATGAAAAAGCATTTCTCCCACACGAGAACGAGGTGCTTTTTTCCATTGGCAGCATATAATTACGACATTTATCATCCTAAACTTCCAGCGTCTTCATTTTTCACTCATTTGCTGCTTTTAATCTTCTTGTCAGAAAGACAGGAACCAATTACAAGGTGTTGCCGAGCTCAACTCGAAAATTACTGCCAAAAATAAAGTCCACTGGCTTAATATTGATGTCCTGTAGACACGATGATTTCTTTAAGCTCATCGATGCCTCTTGTAAATCAAATAGAAGACCAAATAAGGTTT